TATTGCATCAGAGGTCACTCTGTGCAAATATCAGAACATTGAATACATGGGTTTGGCGATGGAGGGGGTGGTCGGAAAAGAAATAGCGGCAACCTGGAATTACAGCCACCCTAAAGGAAGGAAGAAACGTTATTCCTGATGCACTGTGGCATCCTGTTTCAGTGAATACTTAAAACACAACCATAACCTTCCATTTTAACATTGAATAGAGTGTATGCATGGGAGAGAAGACAGTTTGGCCTCTTAAGCGATGACTAGATGTGGATTTGATGCTACAACTGAATGCAACACATCACATTCAGTTCTTTTTGAAGCAGAAATTAGTCTGACTGAGGCCAGTGAAAACTCCTTACAACAAATCCCAGGAAAGTGGGGGAGATTTTCTTATAAGTGAATTACATGGCAACTAGTAAGTCTTCAGTGGACTTCGAGATCCGATATCCCATTACAATAAAGCATTAGGATTTTATACTACGGGTTGCTGTAAATGGAGTTTCACTGCAGCTGGTTTGCTGAAAACAAGAACGTGCTCATGGCTCTTATAGACAGCGTAAGTACAGATGACAGGGGCCAGCCAGGCTGTGACTGAAGCCAAAGCACTCGACTTTTTAAGTCTACCAAAAGCCTCTCTGAATGCAGTCTAGTCTATACTTGCAGAGGCTGAATGTTTCAGATTTTAGACTTTAAATCTTTAGTATAGACACTTTAGTAGAGAGTAGTATAAGCTTGCTAAGTGCCATATAACAGCAATCACTGCAGTTCAGGAAAGTTTGGTGTGAAGATGAGCGTGAAAATCTGAGTCATGACAGTAAGCTCTGCCACTTCACGGCCACAACGCAGGACATGGAAGAGCACAGAGCTGTGAGGTGAGGACATCTCTGAACACATGTGACGCCCGTCCTTCTGTGCACCTGCCAAGGCCCAGAGCCATACACCATTGTGCATGATTACCAGAACACGAGCTCAGAACTGGCTCAGTGCTTTTGCTGCACATCTTCTTGTCGCTCTACAACTACTTCATCAACATGTTCATCATACGTGAAAAATTTAAGTCCCTGTGTATAAAGCCAGGGTCTCCTCCATATTGTGGCACTTAGATCACAAACCTGTGTGGTTTCAGTATAAAATATAAAAGTGTTCATACAGCTGTATCCAAAAAGAAATGAAACAGTTGCTACACTGAGAATAAAAAAACCCAAACCATTTGGAGCTATAAAACAACTATCCATTGAGAAAAGCACCCTCAGGTACAGGCTCGTTGAACATACCACCACCCTCAGCAGTCAGGGTCTTAATGTAAACTCGAAGTGGCAGTTAAGCCTCCACAAAGTACAACGGGAAATACCAGGAACACTCTCAAAAGTTGTTAAAATATCACATAAAAGAGACAAGGAACAGCAAGAAAACATCTAAGAAAAGCAGGCTGCGATACCACAAGCATTTGTTAAGAAAAGCTCAGAAGTGCATTAGTTCTGGTGAGAGATATATGAGCAACAGCTCTTACGAGATGCAGAACCCATTCTGTAACTATGGGCTGTCCATATACTGTCATAGTCAGAGTCTTCCGAGAGGTCTGAAGGCTCCAAACGAGAAAGGCTACTGCGACGACCCAAGGAGTCTAGACTTGATTGGTCGTCATCAGCCAAGACGTGATTATGCATCAGGTCAGTGCCTTGCCATGCTAAGACGGGGTGGGGTGACGTGACAGGTGTGACAGGCAGGGTGGGGTGAGAAGGAGAACAGACAGAAGAGCCACAACCAAAAACATGAAACAAAAGCAAAAGGTGATGGGAAGAGAAGGAAAAGAGAAAATACTGTTAAAAAATGCAACAATGCTTATTTCTCCTTATTTATGGCTGGGTTTTAATAATGAACTTATAGCACAACCCTTAGACTAAAACCAGACCAATTATTATTTAAATAAACCTAACACATGATATTGTTTCCAAATTGCTCTTTTTTTAAGATACTGCTATAAAGCCCTCATTAAGAAATCTTTTATAAATTACACCCATGTCGAAAAGATGATTCTATAAACAGTTGGCAATTAACCAATTCTATTCCACATTCTGTTAATAAATTATCTCACTCAGGACATTATCTGTAAAAGCCACCATTTATGTGGCTACTTAAAAATGGCTTCCTATTCAATAAGTAGACATATGAAATGCAGAATAACATCAAAGGAATTTTCACTTATTTTTTCAACTATGCCAAGACTATAAATCCAGGGGGTGGGGAGAGTCTAAACTTACCTTATCAATCTATAACCACTGTCAAAATTTCAGAGGGGAGAAAGGTACTAACCAGGGCCCACGGCCTTCCGAGTACCCACTACCTGCTCTCAGGGCTCTCAGCACCAGGCATGGGGACAGCGGGGAACTGAGTCTGTTTGCATTGTCACTGACCCTGAGGCAGACCTTTGCCGTCAGGAACAGACGTGAACTGTTAATGCCACAATGTTATCAATAAAAGGAGAACAGAAGGAAGTGGTACAAAACAGTAGAAGAGATATAACCCCAGGGTGGCTGGCAACTGCGAGCAATGACCCTGGCCAGGCAGTGGGCTGAGAGGCATGCACAGGGCTGCAGCCCTCACCGGGGAGCTGGGCCCTCTGTGCCAGGGCGCGATGGTGCTTGACACACCACAGCAGCCACTGGCTGCGTTCCTGTTCCTGCTTCTGATCTAAACGACCTCTGTTCCCAGACCACAACAAGACTCTGAGAAGGTCATTAATTCCTTGAGACAGAAATCAAGACCAAAGACATCTGGTTTATAAAGTCTTCTTGGTATCTAAATGTAGACTGAACAGAGTTGAATTTTAGATAAATATATATTATCCTTCTAAAAACTGTTTTACTAAGCACTTAATATAAAAAGAGCTGCTTTCATTATGATCCTGTTTCCAAAAGTCTTGATTATGCACGCCACCTTTCCAGCACAATCGATTTCTCTCCTTACTTCCTGATTTTTGAAGAGTGTTAGGTTTAAGGATATATATGTTTATAAGCCCTCTGAGGCCCCAGAGTTGTTTGCCCATAATATCTATTAAAAACAGAAATCAATGTATCATCTGAAGCTTTTCTTGCACAGGAGGAATGAAAATACATAATGTAGACAACCTGAGAAAAGGAGCTGCGGGCCATCCTCAGGCAGCTGGAAGCAGCAGAGCCACAGGCACACCACAGGGCACTGCCGCTCATCATGAAGAGACATGGCCTGTGCCGAGACACAGAGCCCACATACAGCTGTCCTTCAGAGTGCTCCCCTCGGACACCAAAATCCTCAGATGCTCAAGTCTTTGATATAACCTGCACACACATCCTCCCATACACTTTAAATCATCTCTGGAGTACTTATAATACCTAATTCAATGTAAGTGGTATGTAAATAGTTGGTATTCTGTATTGACTTTTAATTGTATTGTTTTATTGTTATATTATTTTTTATTGTTTCTTTTCAAATATTTTTCATCTATGATTGGTTCAATTTGCAGATGCAGAACCCAGGAACATGGAAGGCCAAATGAATCTGGTCTGTTTATCTGAGACTATTGAGTTAAAAAATTTTAAGTAATTGAGATGACTTAAAAAAAAAAAATCTCAAATTTAAAATCCAAAACTCTATGGCCATATCTTATAGTCTATTACTTAAAATATAATCACTATCAAATTATGAAAATGTAATGCCTTTAATCACAATGTGTATTTATAAGTTACTGCTTGATTATACATATACTTATCCACATTTTGACAGTTTATCCAGGCCTTTTCATTTCTTCCCTATTCTGTCGAGTATTACTATAAATAGGAGTTTCTACCAAAGTACGGACAAAAGAAGGACAGTGTTGACCCTTGGTAAAAAGTCTTAATGTCACAGGTGGGATATGGCACAGTGCTGATAAATACTGGAAATGGTAATAAAAAAAAAAAGATGTTTCTAGATAATCCACAGATTCTACCTGGGATTTAACCCTGCCAGCCCTGTCGTCACAGCTGTCCTCTTCGACAAAAGTAAAGCAATTAGAGTCCTTTCCCACTTTATCCTTTCTTTCAGTGTTAGGTTAAAATAAGACATGACACTAATTCAAACCCACATTGCAGGTGACGAAAACGAAGAGGTAAGATAAACGATTTGCCCAAAGTCAACGTGGAAAGAGAATCGAATCTTACAGCCTAATAGAAACCAAGTTTTTATGCTGAAGTAATATATAAATCATCTAGTTTTTTTTTAAAAAAAGGAAAAAACCACCTAAGAAGCAGCAGGACAAAAGGACGAGCTGTGGCACCCAGGGCCCAGCACTGCGTGCCCACAACCTGTCGGCCCTCTGGGAGTGTGGATGCCAGCAGGGCAGCAGCCCCTTCCTTGAACAAACAGCACGCACTGCTCCGTCAGCTGCCAACACACTGCGTTTCACTCTCCACCGTTGGGGAAGAGTTAAAGGGAAAAAAAGCCATCTTGTTGTCCACGCACTAGATAAAAATTTTTTCATAGACATTACACATAAGACACATGTAAATTCTGTGGTTCAGAAATCTACCAAATAAATTAGTTGTTAATTTCTGAAAATTAAGGGGAAAAAAGCCATCGCTAAAAAAAAAGGCTAAAAGAGGCCTTGCTCTAGCTTTATATTTTGGACAATAAGCAGCTAAAAAAAAAAAATCTCAATACTGTAACAATAGTTTAAATAGCTGAAATAAAGGCATTAATCTTCCACCGTCTTCTAAACATCCTCTTTAAGCAAAAGTTGTTTTATAAATTCTGGCTGTACCTGATACTTAAATATCTCCTAGCACAACGTTATCTAGAAAATCATACATGGCTTCTTTGCCCACAGCTCAGATCCAGCTCAGATGACCAGGGCCCGAGGCTCACACAGCGACCCTGCTTGCTCCCCACTGGTGCACCTCACTAGGAAGAGTGCAGTCTCCTTCAGATTGTCTCTTGAAACAAAACAGAATAAACCACCCCAGTTCCCAGGGAATTACTGTGAAACTTACTTGAATTGAGGGTTTGCCGTGTTTTGGCGCTTGTACAGTAAGCTTCGATGACTTTCAAAATCTGAGCATCTTCTTCCAAAGCAGCCGTGCCTGTCAAGAGACACATGACACTTCACAAACTAACTCAGTCACTGATACAACTAGCAAGACAGATGCAGTAATCAACTCAGCCAAAAGTGAGAATTAAGAGAACCTCTCCTTTTATTTTGTCAGGTAACTGTTTTGTAAATACTTACAAAATAGTTATATTCAAAAGGGTTTTTGGTTTTTTAAAAACATTTTATCTGCAATGTATCTGGCAAAGGGCTGACATCCTAATTCACAAAGGCTGGCCTACCGACCTGTAAGAAACAGCATCCCCAGTCTGAAACTAGAAAGGGCAAGCGAGAAGAATAAGCACATCACAAAATAAGAACACCGTCAATAAGGAAAGACACTCAGTCTCACGAAAACAAGAAATGAAAACTTAAATACTGTCTTCATGTTTTCACATACCAGCCAGACACAAACAAGCCTGCGATCTCGTATGACGTGGACAGAGGGAAAGGAGAAGCTTCAGCTGGCTGGTGGGAGCCAAAACAGGTACGGCTCTCTGGAAGGGCAGTCTGACCGTATCATCAAAGGCTCTAGAAAAAGGGTTCCCTCTGATCCACAAAATCCCACTAGAATTTAATCTAAGGCAGTTAAAAAGCCCGAACTTAGGTGTCACTCCAGAGCTCTTCCTTAAATGATGGGTTATCTGGATACAGCTTCATCTCCACCTAGAGATCATAGGCTCTGAGGGTAGAACCTTCTGGAGTAACAGCAGCCAGTGGCAGCAGCATTAAGCATAGCCTCACGACCCAGCTGGTGCTGACTGAGTATCAAACGGACTACCCAGACTCCATCCTGTGGGTAAACTGCTTCTTTTCTACATTTTCTTAGATTTTACTTGAATAAATATTTTAAAAGGCTTACGTTAACAAAAAATGTGGAAAGAATGGAAGACGAAAATATTTATAGCTGTGTAATCTATTAAGCCTCAATGTCATTTTAAGGGAGTAAAATACATACAAGCCGAACTACGTATTTATAGTACCAAAAGTTTAAGCGCTATTGAGAAAAAGATTTGAATTCCACTAACTGGGATCATTTAACAGGTTTCCTATAATAAGCTACTCCTTGAGGAGTAAAAAAGGCAAGATTTAAGTAGCTGGATCCCATGAAGGGCACGTGCACAGTAATTCCATAGGCAGGAGAACGATCTTCACAGGGACATGACCCATCACGCTGACGTAAGACAAGGCAAATATGAACACATCGCACAACGGGGAAAGAAAGACTCAGGATGGTGGCTTCCCACGGCTGACCACCATTATTGATGGGTTTCTCATCACAAAGGTTGGGCGAGAGCTCATTAACGAGAGGACAGCACACATTTTCTATGTCGCACTGACTGTTTCACAAACTAGAAAAATTTCTAGGATTCTGAATGTAATAAAACTTAAAATAACTTACAAAATTACAACCTGATTTCAAAGCAATACAGTTTACTAAGCACTTACTATAAGCACAGGGCATTACTTACACAGAGATCATTTATATGAAACTACTTTTCAGTCCACACTAAATGCTCAGTTTATCCCATGGGTCCCTCCTTAAATTCCTCTCTCTAACCTGCTAAGACCATCGCAGGCCCTCTGATTCTTGTCTTCTATGTCTATGCGACCTTATGCCTGAAATGCCATCTAAGCTCTGAGTACACTCTGGAACTCCCACCACTAGCCCCGAACTTTCGCAAGGGTCAGACCCATGTGTGGGCTGTCTACCTGACACCGCTTCCTTCCCACTGCAGTTCATGGGACGCACACTGCAGCTGTGCAGCTGAGAGCCTCGGTCCTGCTGACCATGGCCAGGCGGCGCTCTGCGGACAGCTGTCCTGTGCACTGCAGAATGCTGAACAGCGCCCTGGTCTCTACCACCTGACGGCAGCAGCACCCTCCCCAGCTATGACAACTAAAATGTCTTCAGACACTGCTAAACGTCCTCGGGGGGCAAATCACGCCAGTTGAGTACTGCTGCTGCAAGTTTCATCTTCACCAAACACCTAGTCCAGCCCACCACCTCGCACCCTCACAATCTGGCTCCCTGCTTTCATCTTTGCCCGTCTATTCTCCACATGGCAATCAGGTCCCCGGTACAAAACTGAGCTGTGGATGCCCGCTGCTCAAGGCACCCAAGTCATGGCTTGCTCCACAGAGGGGCAGGCAGCTCCGGCCCACGGAGCAGCCTCCACTGTCCCTTTAACACACCACGGGGCTTCTGCTCAGGGTCTCTGTGACCAGGTCGGAGCGCCCTCCCCAGACTTGACTTGATGCTTCCTCAGCCCAACGTCTCTGCTCACAACGCCCCGACCAACAACTCCGAGCCCTCCCGGCCGGGCCTCTGTGGCACTCCATAGCCCACACACTTTATCGCCCCCTTGTTCTATTCCTTGTCTGAATCTTTCTCCCCAAATGCAGGCTCCACAAGAACAGGATTTCTCTTTCAGCCACTGCCAAATCCCTCACCCCAGCACATGAAGGTGTGGACATGTCAACTGAACGACTACTCATCCGCAGCCAGGTCCTGACTCCCGGCTCTTCACACAGACGGTGCCAAGATTTTGCTTGTGGAAGGAGGCGGCCCACAGAACATCCCAAGTCAGGGATTCCCACCCCTTCTGAGAGGATTGACGGCACAGCCAGTCAGGGGACAGCAGGCAGGTGAATGGGCCTGGGTCTTGGGTCTTGCTGCTAGACCCCCTGCCTTGCCCACCTCAGGAGGCGCTCTGGAGCACACTGCCCTAGGGCCAGGACCCAAACTGTCAAAGGGAGGGACCCACGCTGCGGTGCCTGCTACTGTGACGTTGGGAGCCAAGGTCAGGAGAGGGAACGTGCTGGCACAGTCAAGGAGCCATCCTCTCACCAAAACCTCCCACAGACCACACGGGGGTGAGGCCCATCATGGTCCCAGCTACTGGGCCACTCTGCTGCCTTCCCCCAAGTTCTGATGGAAAGAAACATCTCTCCCACAAGCCTCCTTGTGGAAATGGATCCCCGCAGGGCCCCGATGGGTGCCGTAAAGAGGAGGAGCAATGACTGAGAGTTGCAAAGACCCAACACAGGCCTCTCCTGCCAGCTGGCTGACAACCCCTCTTGAGGCTGGAGGAGGTGGAGTTAGGGGCCCTGGACAGGGCAGTCTGAGTTGGACAGAACCCTGGGAACAGACCCTGAGACCTTCCTAAGGCCAGCCCATCTCCCCACCCAGCGTCTTCCTTCAGTACCAAGCAACCCCACAGCCTCTTCCCATGAGCAACCCTCCTGGTGGTCACCCCTAGGGAAGGCCCGACACTGGAAGAAATGGGCCGGGGAGGACAGTGAATCTTTCTAATCACTTCTAGAAACAGTTCTACTCATTCCAAAGCTATCACGTGAGCACCTGGTGGGTGTAACGTGCTCACTGTGAGCGGCTGTGTGAGAGACCTGGAGCTGGGTCACATGCTTCCTTGGCCTCTCAGATGTCCATCCCTGAGTGGTGGGCACGAGACAAGCACACACCTACCTCCAGCAGAAAAGAGACCACAGCAAAAGAACAGGGTGATGGGTGCAACTCTGACACCAGAAAATAAGTCACGTTCCTGGCGGGTGGAGAGTGCACTTCGGGAATTACAGCACTTAAACCACAAGAGCAGGCGAGACCCCCAGAGCTAAAGCCCAGGCCCGGTTCAGGCTCCCAGATGAACGCAGGGCTCCAAGGCTCTGTGTGCTACGAAGCACGTGAGCGTCACCACTGACATGTAGAAACTGCTCCTGCTCAACCATGCAAACGCACAGCAGCTTGTTTCTCTCGCTGCCTCACAGTATAGTCCATGGAAAGCCACCAACCCGCTCCCTCCTGTGACCACTGTGGCTGCATGACAAGGAGGCACGTCCTCCACACGCACCCACAGACGGGCACTCACTTTTCCGCAAGGCAAACTCCTCGTCCGAAGGCTTCCGTTCAGGCTTGCGCTTAGGCAGCAACTTTTTCATGGTCTTGGGACTCTTACTAAGATCCTAGGGAAAGAGGAAGAAAAAATGTTGCCAAAGCCAATCATTTCTACTAGCGTATCAAAAAGGGTTGCAGTTAATTAATGGTGAAATATTGAATTGTTATAACCACTGTTAAGAGCTTCCTACTTCTCTCATACTTTTATTTTTCTTTGTTAGCTGCTGAATGTTCATTTAAATTCAATAGGGCATTTTCAGTATTAGTCACTGGCTAATATTTCCTGACTCTAATAAAAACCCTCACGTGACTTGGATCCCATGACAACAGGGGTGTTAATGGCAGGCACACTGGTGGCGTCTGGAGAGGAGAGAAAGGGCCAGTGGCAATGTGCAGACATTCCAGGGGTGGGGGACTACCAATTCTGGAGCAGACCCACCTGGCACAGCCAACTAGAAAGAGACGAGGAAACTAAGGCAGACAAGCAAAAAGAACAAGTCTTAACTTTAAGAAAAGGTTTGAAGTCGCAAGAGAAAAGAAGAGAAAGTGAGTGACTCTCCCTGGCCTGGAGCGCAGAGGACAGAAACAGCAAGGGACTCGCACTGGCTGCGCTCTAGGTGCACGGTCACACTGGTGCAGAGCGTCCGAAGTGGGGTGGTCCACCCTCACCTCTGGAACACGTCTCCTTCCGCAGTGCAAAAGACAAAGGGAAAACTAAGTGAGCAGGACAAGCATCTATTAAATATCGGTATCAAAAATGGCCAACTTCGTGTCATTTCCATCATACAAACCACTCGTGAACCGTGTCACGAGAAACCAAAACTCAGAACATGAGATGTGCTTTGGAATGAAACAAACTGAAAACAGAGGGAACAAAGCTTGATTTTTAAAGTTATCTTTTAAAAATCTTTTCTGTAAAAATAAAAATTTTAAAAGCTCTTAAAAATGCAGCAGAAATCAGTTCCTGAAGAAACATATACACTTGCTATACAGCTTCCCTAATTCAAAGCAAACAGAGAAGACAACCTTGGGCAATCCGCCCCCCGCCCCTGCTCAGAGGGCACCTGCACATGTACCAGGGCCCTGGCCAGCACACCCCACTCGTGACTCCTAGAGCCAGGCACGCGGGCTGCAGAGTGGCTCTGCATGAGCTTTCTTTCCTGACACTCCATTCTGTAAGATCACTTTCCACCTAAAGTTTGGAGGCACTCAGTAATACTGGACAACAATTAGAAGCTCTAACACCTTTTCTCTCATGTGGAGTCCAGCAAAGCAACTGCAGCCAGATTTACCAAACTCAGAGTATCTATGCTGACCTCAATACCTCTTCCCTCACCCTTTGTAGTTCTTTGCCCAACAGTTTCACCCCAATTGTCCTTCCGTGGTAATTTAATCTCCACCACCAGCTCTTGCCTGCAATATCTCACTTTTTCTTTACACTGTACATATTGACCTACATAATAAAGAACACCCACGTTCTTCAAGTAACTGCCCATGACTTAAGCACATGACTGCCAGCAAGATATCTATCACAAAATGAAATTCAGTAAGAACTTAAAAAAAAGGAAAGCTTTGATTATAATTTCTTACATAGTTCTTTTCTATGGGTCTTAAAAAACTTAGGGCCACTAGCGGGAACAGAGAGGGTCTGCTTCAGCTCCCTTGGTAAATGTGGGCCTTGACTGGACATGGAGTCACACCACTGCACTAACACTTACACTCACAAACATAATGACTCTCTTGCACACACTCGAGACTGCATTCACACTCACGACACCTTACATTCACACTCAAGCTCATGCTCATATTCATCCCCATGCTGACTCATGCCCACACTCATGCTAGCACTCACACTCACACTCACTCCCATGACCACACATTCTCAGACTTACACTCATAACCACACTTGTTCTCATGCTCACAACCACACTCATTCTCATACACTCCTGCTCATACCATTCTCATATACTCATAACCACATTCTCATAACTACACTCATTGCCACACTCATAACCACACTCATTCTCACATTCAACCACACTCAACCACACTCATTCTCAACTGATAACCACATTCTCACACTCATGACCATATTAATTCTCACGAAAACCACACTCAATTATCAGCTTCCTCAAGTGAAAATATTTCTCAGAATACATTTCTCAAGACACTTTCTTTCCTCAACAAGTTGCTTTAGGTAAAGGTGTATGAAATTGTTAATACTTATTTATGGATAGGAATTGGATTTTAACTGCACCTAACAAATATGGAAATACTGGGTCAGAATGGAGAAAAATGAAGACCACATTATCATTTCTTACACATCAAAGAGAGGAGCTGCCTTAAATAATTTTTTTTTTCACTTTTGTTTATAAATATTCTCTTCACTTCAAATAGCTTTGGGTGACAAAATGTAGGGTTCTTGAACAGTATCACAAACTAAAAAAAATGGGCCTAAGGTGTAGGAAGATAGCATGCAGAAATAAAGTGACATCCCTCATGAACTACAAGTTAAAAAACCATGTCAGGCTCAGCCTCGTCCTAGCTCCTGGCCCCACAGTGGCCTTCCTTGGGTCAACAGATAAAGGTCTCTCCGTGCACGGCACAGACGGGATCAGACACTGCACACGCCCTCCCCATGCAGGTTTACTATGGGCCACCCCAGCCCTAGGAGCAATAGAGTGAATGACAAGGGGACAGCATCCCTCCTTCATGGTTCCAAAGAGCGAGTCTCTATGTTGTTATGTACAGAGGACCGATCTCGAGGCATGCTCACTGTCACCCGGCTGTCTGAGCAGCCGCAGGACCTTACCTCCTTGTAGCAGAGGGCAGCGGAGGGCCGGAGGGGAGGTGCAGGCCGCAGGCAGCTCAGGCTCCAAGGCTTGGGAGTTTTCGGAGGCTCCAGGGGTCCCCAGTTGATGGTGGTGTGCGGGGTGCCGTGGTGGGAGGGGTGGGGGAGCGTGTGGTAGGCAGGCGCCAGCGGTGCAGGCTTGCTGTCCGCGTGCTTGCTGGACGGAGTGACCGGGTGGGAGGGGAGCTGCCGAGGGCACAGAGCAGGAAGGGCAGAGAAAGAACGTGAGACTCCAGCATGCTCGCTGCAAAAGGACACTTCATATACACTTTACCCATTCTTTAAAAACACTCCAAGTGAATAAGCCCCGAGTTATCATTTCTTTTGGATCTCTGACTCTCAGCACTCAGTTTCTGGGCCACAAGCCCTCTCACAGGGTGGGCTCCCCCACAGCATCTGCTCTGGCCAAGAGGGGCAGCTCTCTGCCGTGGCCAACACTTGAACACTCCACGGGCCACATTTATTTGCACAGAATAAGATCTGGAAAAACGTACTTCCTTAGCATATCAGAATTTTACGAGAGAACAGGTGTTCCCTGTACCGGGAACAAGGCTATAGGGAATGGTAACCCTCCCAGCTGCGTACTGTTCATCACCTGGTGTAAAGGGGTTGGTCAAAACTGGGGACTGACTCCTAGTCCTGTTTTTTTAAAAAATAAGTTTCCCTGGCAATAGCAGGCCTGCTCCTCTCTATGGCTGCTTCCGTGTTACAGGGCAAAGGGCAGTTGCAACAGAGACCCACAAAGCCAAAAATATTTATGACTCTCTGGCTCTTCATAGAAAATTGCTAATGCCTGGAATAAAATAAATTATTTTATTGGAAAACTCAGCTTCAATCAAAACAAAGTTATTCAAAAATCTAATTTCTCTAAAAAGAAAAATAAAAAAAATCTAATTTCTCAGGGTAAGGTGTTACTAATGAAGTTTATATGCCTGGAAAACCCAAAAATATTCCATCACCCTGACAGATAAATGAGAAAAATTAAATAAGTAACACTCAAAATTAGCCAATGATCTTAAATCAGCCAATAACAGTAAGGCATACTGAACGGGAGAGTGCCTGAGCGATTTTATGCACTGGAAGTCTGAGTGAGGTCACCAACATCTGACACACAGTGGAAGGGAAGCCCCCCCAACAGCCAAAACCATGGTTTCAAGAAGAGAATAAACTTTCTCAAGGATCATATTCCCCTGTCCTTGCATGGGGGAGGGAAGTGTGAGACTCGTATCATGCTACGTATCTACTACAAAGTAATTTTTTTCAAACTAAGTAACTTATAGATGAATAAAATTATACACAAACATCCCTCCTAACAATAATGCCATAGTAAGTGATGTTTGGTTTTGTTTCTCCTTAACTTGAAAAAGTCAAAAGAGGTATGCTTTATGCTAAGATCAGAATATGATTTAGGCTGGATACAGCTCGATCACAAGCAGGATACATAATCCCACAAGAGACTCCCTAGAATGCACATTTCAAACGGGAGGCGGTGCAGTGCCTTCCCCGCTGTAGTGACGCCTTCCCAGCCACCAGAGACATGACAACAAACACTGAGATGCAGGGCCCAGCCACAGAGAAAAGTTTCTTTGATAGGAAATTTTATGAAGTCGAGTTTCAGGGTGTTATTGAAGATCTGAATGAAAAAGCATCTCCACTGTTCTTTATAAACACACACATGTACATACATATGTCCCTGGGATAAATTCAGTTCCATGAAAGCTAAGTGTTTCCATATTTTTAAAAGAATGGAGAAGTTACAAATGGCACAGCCATTCAAAATATAATGTCAGCTAAAGCAAATGAGCAGTTTTAATCTCCAAACTGTGTGGCAAAAATAGTGAGACCATGAAACTCTGATCAGAATGTTACACTACAGCAATCCTTCTTGAGTTAAAGCTTTAATATGAAGGATAACAAACAAGAAAATGAGCTACAGGGTAGGAACTATCCTAATAGGCTAACAGGGATGTGAGGAAAATCTACACATTGAAAATGCCTACAAAATCATAATTCATTCTTTAAAAGGTTTGTCCAGTTTTTCAATATTACTCAATAAGGATAATGTATATTAAAATAATACCAGTTTCTTAAGCACGAAACACTAGCAAAGAGAGGTTTAAACGTTGAAACTTTGGTGTTGATCTATTTTGAAATATTATAAAAGTCTCTAAAACTCCAAAGAGCAGTTGAGCTATTCTAAGTAAAAGATAAACGAATTTCTTAACATCGAAACAATAAGTCAAAAATTATAATTTATGCCTTTAACATGAATCTGGCCCTTATTATCATAATGACTTATTTTGTGTTTTCTCAAATTAAACACAATGAATACAGTTAAAATTCTCAGGAAAATCATCTAGGAGTGGTGGCTCTTGGGGGTTTTGTATAAACTCCCCATGATAGTCTTCTAGGGCCACCCTGAGCAGAGGCAGCTTCCTACCCAGGAGTCCCTGAATTCCGTGTGAGGACGCACAATTTAGGGCTGTTTCACAGGAATGATCAGCGGGAATCGAGGACTAAATATTTGCAGAGAAATATGAAGCAAGTATTTTGCATTCTTGATCCAAATATTGATTAAGCTTTAAAGCACTTGATCACTACCGGACAGCTTAACCCCAGGCAGCCCCGTTTAGTCTGGAAGGAGGAGAGGCATGCGCGCCCTTACGGTGTGGGAGGGCACAGAGTGAGGCTTCACGGTGGGGTTTCCGACAGACGTGACTTTCGTCTGCTTCTGCAGGTGGTCCACCCACTCATGCAGATCCTGCTGATTGTTGCATGACACTAATATCCGCTCGATCATGCTCCCTAAAAGAGATAAGAATAGGCCAAAGTGGAAACACAGGTAGAAAGTGCACACATGCACACACCCCCCCAAGTATCACTCAGCAACGCTTAAACATCACCTTCTGAAATACACAAGCAAGAACCTGCACACGGATAACAAGCTACCTCTCTCATCCCCGTGACAGCATTCACACAGTTTGTGCCTATCACCTGATATTTCAAATGCATTTCTATGATTTTCACTGTCCTCAAGCTTTGTGATTGTCATTCCTGTCGTTGGTAGCTTTCCCTAAAAAAGAGCCCCCCCACACAAAAAAAAAACAATTAGTGCTTTCCTAGTAAAGAAGGTACCATTATCAAAGTAAATATTAAATGATTTTAGGAATGGCAGAGGAACTGTGTGCACCAGAAAAGCTCTTGTTATAGCAGATGCATGTACAATACAAAAAGCTATCTCAAATAAGAAATTATAATACTATACTATAATGAAGAAATTGAACTGGCAAAAAGGTACAGAGTACCAATCCAGAACAAAGAGTTCATCTGATGAGCAACTCTAAACACAAATACCAGGACACACAAACATTATACATCATGATTTTACAAACTAGAGTGTATAACAGCTGTTTTAAATGACTTTTTGTAGAAAAGAAGCCTGAATATGCGTCATAAAAAAATGAAGAGGAAGCTCCAAATCTGAAGGCGAAATAAGGGTGGGAAATTGAGGCAAGCATAGGAAATGTCTAACAGTTACACTGTGGTCTACCAAGGAGAAAATAAGTCGTCATGCTAAATGTTGCACACAGTGCAGAAAACGGTGGACAAACCCATCCTCCCTGAAAATGGAAGAAATCGGTAACTGAAACAGGAAATGTCAATGGAGAGACATCAGAAAGGAGATGCAAACTGATCATCATAAACAAAGCAGAACTGAACACAAAGTAACACATCCCGGTTGACACAAACCATGGTATGCAGTGGCCAACCCAGTCTTTAGTCAAAGTCTACAAGTGTTGTGGGCCAAGTTGCCTGGGCAACAATTAGTCAGCCAAGGGACAGGACTCTGTGTCAGCACCTCTGAAAGCCATGCTTCTAAACAAGGTGTGGGAAATGTGTCCTCACTGAGGATAAGCAGCAGTGTCACAGCCTGGCCAGAGAGGTTGCCCAGAGGCTGCCCACAACCTACAGTGCACAGGACAGTCCCCGCCCAGTCCAAACCGATGGCAGTGCTGAGACTGAGAAACCCCACCCTGAAGCATGGCAGACTTGACACTTCTGTGGTCAAGTGCACTTGAAAAATGCTACAAACTGTGTACTCCTTTCCAAGATTCATAATGCACATGTGTATTTCAACAGCTCTGAGAAGACCTACAGAAAATACAACTGCGTAACTGTTTAACCTGGCATATCTTAACACCAGTGTATTGCTGAATCTAACACTTTTCAACATCCCTCAAAGCCAGTGTCCTAATAGCAGAAATGAATACTGATGATACAGACTATGGGTCCCTGCATAAAGAGAAAAACTTCTCAGGAAACTGTGCTGGGAATGGGAAAATAAAACCCCACTGGTGGGATGAGGTCCCAGTGGCACGTCAACACATCAATGGCAAACCCTGCTGAGGCCCAGCCTCACAGGCAGGGACCTAAGGTGTCCTAGTGGCAACCTCTTCTCGCCAGAGCAAGGCCAGATAGTGCTGATGGGAAAGGACTCGGGTTTAGGTTTATCAGGGTCATTTAACAAACGAGTAGCTGCCAGTTTGGGAGGAAAACCCTACTAGGCATAATCTCAGCCACAGATAACCTTTCCTCAGCAGTAGCCTTACAAATTAAAGCATTATTTTTCTGAGCCTATCTGTATATATTTGCTTTAGCAATATTAAAGTGCTCCTTTTGGAATAACTGTCCTCACTGGGTGGCAGACAAACCTTCTGTGGAGGTACAAAAAAGCTGAGTCTAATTATGACTCAGGGTTCTCTAACGTTCTTGCTGGGAACAATATAAGACAACACGTGCTGTACAGAAATGCAACTCAGAGAACATGAAGTGGTGACTTCTGTTGCAGTAGTATCTGGTGACTGAGTTAGTCTTCAAAAAGTTGATGAGAAAGGTACTAGCTTCTCTAACTTAAAGAAAAATAGTAACACCTCCCAAGAGCATCTACTAAACATACGGAAAAAACATAAGCTACTTGATATCACCATTATAAATTAGCGTAGCAACAGAAAAGAACTCCCCCTTGCATTTCCTCCTCAAATCAGCTGTCATGTTTTTGCAAAGAAAAGCAATGAAATGACTAAAAAATAAAAAGGCTAAACAATCACATTACTCCTTATATTACCTTAAATCTGCTGACATATTTGGGTGGTGCTGCACCACTTACAAAAGATCCGAGCTCACACCTTCCCACTTTATCCACAGTCCCTTGTCCAACACATTTTGCAGAGCAGAAAACTACAGCTCAAAGCAGCAAGGCACTTTGCACAAATGACATGTGTCAATAACAGAGACCAAAGTGCACCACAGCAGTCTGTGCCCTGAAAAGCTTACTCTAAAAATTTACACTTCCTTTTTTGATTAGAATTAACATAAGGATATGCTTATGTAGTCACATCGAAACACAAAGAGGAGCTGTATGTCCGTATCTGAATACAAAACACTCCACATACAGTACTACACATGGCACATAGATACAATATTTAACACAAAATCCAAAGCCAGCCTGAAAATGATTCTCAGATTCATAATAAACAATAAAATAGAAATTTAAATGTGTTTTACCTGATAGATAAAACCACTCATCCTAGGACTGGCAGACAACATTAGCAAAATATTTGGGAAGAGGAGAAGGTATCTTTCATTCTTTTCCTAATATAAAAAACAAACAAATCCAAATAACTTCTTAAAAAAATCTACTTACACATGTGAGCACAAATACTTTACATTAGGCCCTATGAAACATTATACTACATTTCCTGTTTAGGTATTTCTACCAAATTTTATTAGGTAAAGTAAATGGAAACAAAATTATGATAAATTCTGTATTAAGTCTTAACATACAATTAAGAGAGAGTTTTAACATTTAGGTAAAAAGACGGATCGCTAAATTCTTCAAAATAAAAAGGTAAGAAAGTAAACTAAATGATTAAAAGACCTCGGGCTCACAAGTAGCCTGTGTAACGTCTTTAAAAATATTTGGTTAAGGAGTTCAGCTCTGCCATTAACTATTTTCAGTTATATCTAAAATTTTCTTTTTGTGGTTTAGAGAAAAAAAACATGTAAAATTTTAGCATGGGAAGGAGGAACAGGTGGAGTCTTCAAGTTAAAGGAAGGATAGGATAAAATTTTAAAATCAATTTTGGTCTTTTAATAATTCCTGGCATCTCCCTAAACCTCCCAACATGTCAATTCGATGTTGTTTCATCCACCCCATAAACTTTACCTGGTTTACATGAAAGACTTAAAAACATTACTTATGCATTAAAAATCACTTACTTCAATAAGGGAGCAAAAAGCCAAAGAGACCACAACTAAAGGACAGAAATTCCCAAGAATCTAAAAAGAGACCTAGACATGCCAGGCAGTCCTTTTCCCATGATGACATTCAAACCACTGCCCCAAAAAGTGACCTGAATGCTAGCAAGCAGTTTCCCAAAGCATATTCCTCAGAATGCTAGACTTATGCAAGGTACCTTGAAAAAAAAACTTTCTATACTTCAAAGACATCATTGAAAATGATTCACTATTAATATATTCTCCTCTGGGAAATCACAACATACAATGGGAATATTCAGAGCAAAGGCTCCAAGGAGTTCTGTCAGAAAAGAATCTTTTCCACTTTATCTTTTCAGTTGTGATCATGACAACACTGAATCATTTTTGGAGTAGCAACCATCAACATTATATAGATCTAGTATTACGAAGAATACACTTTGGAGAGTTTCCATAAATTATTTTAAATAAAGTTAAAAAGAACATGATTAAGAAAGAAACAAACTGCTTCTGGAAAGATCTGGATTTTTCGGATATTGTAAGTAAGAAAAGTCACGGTTTCTTATGGTAACCAAACTACAATGCTTTAGTAAATAGAGGGGGTGATATTTCAAAATTTTATAGGTGGGAAGGAAAATACATTGTGAGTATTAAGTTTCCGTTTTCTTATTCTAAGAGTTTCACGTTTGAAAATGGGCCATTAGCATGTTTTGGTCATGGTAATTATTTTTTTGCAAAGTATAATGAAACTCAAAAAGTGGTACCTGCTTAGCGACCCAATGAATGTATACTAATGTTAATCGTGAAACAAACTGTTCAATTTTCACTGTGTGGGATATCACAAACATATGATTTGTTCTCTCACTTAAACCTACCTCCCATAACCAAATGCCAACTAGTGTACATTAACAGAAAAGTACAATGACCCAAACCACAGAAAACAGCAGCTCCCTGAGAGCAGCAGCCTCAACACCACAAGTTCACACGACTCTGTGGCACAAATATACATAGAGCTCCTACAAGTCCTGCCTGGGCATCCTCTTTCAGCTCATACGGGCCATGGACCAAACTGATCTCAATGGATCTAAACTGGTCAACGGGCCCATACTCAGCTTTAAGCCTCTCTAATATGCCATAACTTCTTTCATATTTGTTAAATTATGACCTAAGACAGAATTCCTATTAAATATTGTCATCGCTTGAGATGCCTTTAAAGTCTTGTATTATGAGATCCTAAGCATGCATTGGGTATTGCGTGTGGTGTGCATGTGGACTGCAGTACCTCGCTTCCCGCACACTGGATCAGGACCTGCGACATGTAAATGACGTTGCCCAAGGTTTTAATGTCATCTCCCTCCCAGCTCCGGATGGCTTCTGTCAAGATCTGGAGCTCCAACTCTTTCCTTTTCCTGACTTCTTGACACTGGGCCTGAGTGACACAGAACAATACTGTTAAAGACACAGAAACTTCCAGAATCTTATGTTTTGGCCACAATGCTTTGTATTTTACTTCTTCTTAAGGTAATTATTGCTTTATATCTTACTTCTTGAGATAGATAATCTATTGAATGATTTGTTTAATTGTATGGAATTAAGAAACAACACATACAACTGCTCTGGAATAATAAACACTACTTTAGAAAAATATAGCAGATTTTGTCACTTTCAAGAAGAAGAAATGTAAACTGGACAAGAAAAATATTTTCTGTCTGGTTTTATTAGTATCTGCCAATATAGAAGACTGAAAAGAGGAAAACAGGGCAAGGAGAACCTGTGCTACGAGTAAGGCATGTGTTTCAAAAACGCAGTTGGTGAGACCATTCAACTGCAGATGAAATGGAACCACCAGTATTCTGTTTCACAATATATCACTGAAGACACCATGCATAGAGGTTAAAAAAATGTTTTAAATAATTTTAAAGTAGCTCTAACATCACTTGTGTTGTGCCTTTTGAAAATTTAAATAACTATTGTATCAATTTTCTGGTGTCCATTTACCAGCCATGGAATGCTTACTATACATTTGTTTTTATTTCATCTGCATAAACACTGAATTCACAAGTAAATTTTTTATCATCTAACTTTTTCAGGTGACAATTCTTCTACATTCATTTGCCATAACAATGTCCAAGGAAAAAAACCCCTAATATGCTTAATCACTTACTGAAAGGTTTTTGAAGGCAGTCATAGATTTTTGAATATCTTGTCTATCGGTATGATAATCCTTTGAATAAAAGAAACACACTATTAGCTTTCACAATGAAGTTTTCTTAAAAAGGCACTCTCTATAGATCAGCTTGAAACTTTTCTAACACTTTTTAACCCTTAACATGACCTTTTTAAAAATCAGCAGTAAAGTGCCACCTCTTATTCTTGAAGGGAATCATTAAGCTAACTGACTTAGGGGAAAACACTTTGGGACAGAATTCTCAAGAGCAGGCAAGAGCAAACCAAGCTGTTAAGCCAATGAAGTTTTATCAGAACAATGCCACACCCACAGCTCACATGTGGTCTCTGGCTGCTTGTGTACTAGAAGGGCAGAGCTGCAGAGCTGTGAGATCCCAGAGCCTGCCCTTTATGGAAAAGGTCTGCCAACCCAAGCCAAGGGAGTAACTTTGACCCAAATTTCTGCCAGGCCTGCAATCTATCATCTGAAAATAGATAACTGCAATCATTAATTAAACAATCCTTTTACTATTATTACTCTATCACTTATGCACTAATTTGTAGCTAAATGTTCCTGATATGACACCTCAATGATATGTGGAAATCAGCTTTCATTTTCCAGCTTTGGGAAATTTTTCAGTTGGCAACAGTGGGTGAGAGAGCGGAGATAAAGGGCAGATGCTTTTCTGTAGAGATGGGAAAAAGGAAAAAACCTTAATATTCAACAAAATCATTCTGAAAGTCCACTATGCTAAAAACTCTTGGTAAACTCTCGTTGCTGGTTCTGGCTTCTAAAATAAGTCATTAATAACAATTTCTGTCATAGCCAAGACTGACCATGCCCCAAACCCCCGGGCAGAGCCTGAGTGGCAGAGTGACAAGGGAGTACCTCCATGTGTCTCTCGAGCTCCTTGAGCAGTGTGGGGTATTTGTCCAGGCGCATGAAGGGCTTGCTGAGGCCTGTGGTCAGCACGAGGATCCCGGGACTGCTGGCACCTCTTGCCTCCATGAACTCCCCCAGCTCCTCACTGGGCAGCACGTAGCACGACAGTGAGAGAGAAGGCACATGGTTAGCAACGAGAAGCGGGGCAGCTTTCTGACCGCCATGAGCAATAACCAGGACCGGTGAAACCTGAGTGCTTCATTTAACATTTGGAAGGCTATAGCTTTTACAACCAAACTGTGCTGGTTAACTTGAAACACCACAGGGAAGCCCCGAAGGGTCCTGTTACTGCTCTCACGTGAGCCACAGCAGCTGTGCACGACACAGAACGCTCGTGTCCCTTTGCACTTCCACTGACACAAAGGCCCTTCGGCCTGTCGACAGCACGGGACATGTCCAAAGGTAAGCACACATTCTGGGAGCTAGAAGAAATCCTAATCACCTCGGAAAGAACGTCAGGCTGGTAAGAACTAGGACCAAGAGGCTGCAGTAAAGAATGCTGTGGACCTGCAGCACGAGTGAGAGCACCAGGCCCCAGCGCTCACTCGTCCAGCACACACCCTGAACCCTGCGCTCCACACACTCCGGCTCCAACCCTGTCAGGGGTGCATAACCGCAGCACGATAAAACAATGCCACTCACTCAGGCTTCAGAATTGTCAACGTGTGTTTACATTTAATCCTCACAATACGTGAAGAAGAAAGGTATCCCTGTTTGTAGATGAGGAAACTGAGTGGATACCAAGAAATTAAGGAAAGTTAAAAACAAGCTTTAAATATTTTTCTGTTCTGTTTTCACCATCATCTTTATCTTGACTACACGTCACCTAATTTCTTCCACAGGTACCCTGAGTCCTCTGTTTCCATGCACTGTCTCTGCCCGAAGAACTCTGGAATCACACAGGATGGTGCTACTGGGCCACTATGGGGTCACGCTCTGTGACCAACACATCTGTGACTGCTGATGGCCACCTACAGGCCGCACTTTCCATCGCTGTCACAGAACAGGCCTGAGTCAGCATCCCTATGCTGTGTGTGCCCTCTAGATTCTAGATGTCAGACTGGGACCAATGGGTGGGGAAGAGGCACCACCAGCCCACGGGGCCCATGTCAGGTCTGGGAGACCAGGAGGACTGGGGCCCAGTCACCATGTCAGGCAGAGGGACCAGCCCAGAGGGCCCGTGTTACATCTGGGAGACTAGAGGGGCCCCCAGTCACCATGTCAGGTCGAGGCACCAGCTCAGGGGGCCCACAATACACCCAGGAGGTTGAGGCACCAGGTCGCTGGTCAGTAGAGCTGTATTCAAAAGCCATCCATGTCACTTATCCCAGGAAACAACTGTTCCTAGTCTAGAGGTTTTTCCTTAAAAGGAAAAGATACTTACATCCTCAGTATTACATAAATGCCGCCCTAAAACACATATAAAAATCTTAACAGAAAAAGTGCAAAACAAGCTGGTCCTCACTCAAGTCTCATAAGACTCACAGGGACCCTCCACCACCAGGCCGCATGCCTCCCCTGCCACTGCCTGAGCTCTGGGGACACCAGTGTTCCGGGTGAAAATGTAGACAACGTTTAGGCTAAACCACAGGAAACTGCAAGTTCAAAAATGGTGAACACTAAGAGTTTCACAGTTCAGCCTGAACATGGCCTCCCCGTGGGACGTGTGAGAGCAGGCACTGGCGAGGCACTCCCTCTGTCCTCAGGGAGTTCCCAGAGGAGACCTTTTCACTCAACCAGACCAACTCAGAAATAGAATGTTTCAGACATCAGGGTGAAAACTAACGACTTATGTTTCTTACACACTTCCATCCAAACACTTTCTATAAAAACCGTGGTGGTCTTGCTGAGCAAGGCGTCAGAGTGTTCCCGTGCTGTGTGAACCCAGTGATGATGTAGCTAGCAGCACCTCTGCCTATCAATCCACACCTGTCAGAAATCAACTTTTTAAACAAACATATACACACATTTAAGAGATATTACCAAAACCAAGGAAAATTATAAAAAGGGGGAAAAGTTTTACATGATCCTATTTATTGAAAAATCAACACATATAATAAATATTTTCTCAATTCTATGCATAAGGTTTCATAATTATTTTATTCCTGTAAGACAGCTCATCATGATGATGTAATTTAAAAAAATATCGGCACAGAAACTGTCAGAGTACTTCTAGGTGTGTGTGTCTGTGTGGGGTGTGTGTTTGTGTCTGTGTCAAAGTGTGTATGTGCTTTCATGGACAAATGAAACTCAACATCTTTGTGTCTGTGCTTTTTAAAAATTGTTTCTTGGGAAAATCAGAGGATTGGGAACACTAAACAAAGCACAGTGCCACCTCCAGGACCTTGCTGTGGACACGGTACTGCTCACTTTGGGGACTGCACTGACATAAAAGCCACTGTGTACCCAGCCCGTGTCCACCATCATTTCCACACATGGAGACACCCCCTGCCTTCCTCAGCATCAACCTTCCCACTGGCAGAGGACACCAGGACAGCAGGATCACCAGAACAGAGGACAGGGAGGAAGAGCAATGTGACCACCTGCCGTGCTGGCACCATAGTATATGCCCAACTCGTGCCCCCAACACCACTGCGGGTGGGGGGACGCACGCACCATTATCAGTGTGGTATAGATGACGACAAGGTGAAGTCAGGCCTAGCCTGTGGAGACGGTGTGCCCGCCCTATAACCACAGGCAATGCTGCACCTCACACTCACGGCATCCCCCACTCATGCGCTTACTCAGAAATGCTCTGCTCTTCACACTGCTCACTATCCATCCCTAAAGCAGGAGCAGAGCGAAATAAACAACTGAGACGGGAGAGACTAGGTTTTACCAACAGTTCTGTAAGTGTTGAACAATTTATCAGGCACAGTCCCATAAAAAATTTGATGATACTGAAAGTTTATTTCAACTGCTTTAAATATAATCCACGAAGGGCCTTTTCCACCAAGATAAGAACCAAGAAAAAGACTATTCAGGTCATTATTTGTACTTCTGGGTTACATGTAAAATTTCCTAATTATAGTTATGGCAGAGAAACTGAGTGTGTATCCAGAAATTAAGCAAAGTTTAAAACTAGCTTTAAATATTTTTCTGTTCTGCTTTCACCATCACCTTCATCTTGAGTACACGTCACCCAACCTCTTAAAGCAGGATACCCTCATCACTCCCCTTCCTCCCCCCAAAAAAACACTAAAACAAAAAACGAAATTTTTTCAAGCAAAAGTAACTTCTTTCAATATTCAATAATGCCAGAATATACACACAGCTGAGGAGAAACAGAATTTTATGAATTTTTATAGATCGTTGTTTTAGTTTCATTTTGTAGTTTTTTAAAAAAATTTAGTGCCATAAGAAAACAAAACAGCTAGTTATAACTATCTCGACAAAACGATGACTCTTTCAGCTTCGTTCCTCCTGACACTGGCAGCCCACACACAGCAAGGCCCCTCTGCACTTACTCGGAGGCACCGAGGGCTGTGAAGGACACACGGAAGGATGACCACGGAGCCAAGCAAAGAGCTGCACATTGCTGCGAAAGAATCAGTTTTTACAGATCAAATTATGAAACCCACAGTTCATTTAAAATAGGCAGCCATGGCACACGATGTCTGCTATTACGATAATGCACAAGGTACGTATCAGGGGTAACTCTGCAGTTGCATTCCAAGAGCTATACTTAGAACTTAAACTAAAACAACACAAGGACCATGATGTTGCAAATAAGACTTTTAACTTCAACACACTGCACTTAAATCAATATTTAAAAATTACTCTAAAGCATAAAAGTACATTAATGTAGAAAAGCAGGCAAGAGGTCACACGTTAAGAATCTAAGTATAAAAAAGTAGGGACACTGAAAGAAGCCATCAGCCACATGAAATCATCTCAATTCACCGACTCACACTTTGGGAATGGGATGTGACTTGCGGCAGGCAGAGTGGGAGCTCTGGGCTTAAGGACTTCAGGAGGGCACATGAGCATGGCACTCCCGCAGCAACTCATCAGCTCTGGGGGACTTTCCCCTCCCCCAGGCTTGGACTCCCAGACCCCAATGCTACAGCAACTGCCCCAGGACTGCTGCAAGCCTGGCCTCAGTCTACCCACTCTATCATCCAGCAGGCACTTGGAGGACACACAGACTCTCCACTTCAAAACCTCATCTGTATTCTTTCCTCTGGTTCTTTTGAGAAAATGTTGCACCAACTTTTCAGACATGACACAGTCAGTCATTAAGGTAACAGCAGAGAAGAAGATAAACGTAGCACATACCCACAAGCATTTCTCTTGAAAGTTGTAACATTTAAGGAAACTCTAACAGTCTTAGCTGCTTTTAATGTCATCTTTAGGACAGGTTCTCACTTACACAGGGAAAATACTGAGTTAGACTCTTCCCCCAAAATTGTCCACCTTGCCCTCTTTCTATCCTCCCAAGCCCACCCTATGGGACCAACTCCCTCTCCCAAAAAAGGGAAGGGGGAGGTGAAAAAAGGATTTTAAAAGTATTCTCTAACATTCCACTTGCTTTTTGTTTATCTCCCTTAGCACTCCATCAATAATTCTTGAAGAATGTTCAGAGATACAAATTTAATATTTGCATTGTGCTTTTGTGGAAATTTCATGTAATTTATAAACTCCCAGGAGTAGATGGTATAGCACATTAAGTGAAAATATGCTTGACGCTTTAGAGAAAAAACAATTGCCAGCGTAGCCCACACTCCCAGAAGGGTGATGAGGAGAAAGACCAAGCGGGAGGCGCTGAGGGAGGGTTTCTCTGGGTTTTCTGTTCTGTGACTGCTGTGTGTTCTAACCTCCCTTCTCATCATAGTGTTAAAGGCTACTGCTTCATTTCAGGACTGGAGATGCTTTCACACAAATGGGAAGTTCAAAAATTTTAATCCTTTAGTATTTGAGCACATCCAGGAAACACTAAATTCCAAAAGACATTTCTTTTTTTTTTTTTTTTTAAACAATAAAAGGCAACAAAGCAATGAGCATTTATCAAGGATTTATCATGTTCGCTCGGATCTGCCTCATTTATACGTATTTTGTTTAACACTTATAATAACCCTTGGGATAGGTTCCTTCAGGAAGGGAGCTGAAGCCCAGTGACATGAGGACACCTGTCCAAGGTCCCACAGGCCAGGGGCAGCCTCAGGACCCAAAGCTGAGTCTGCTCTGTCACCCTTCTGACACACTGCTAAGACATTCACACCACGCCACACTGGAGCCTCAACTGCATTCTCAATGGCTAGCAATGCCTGCTTACCAAAGAAGGGTGGGATTTTCTTTAGTTTTAAATTGAAATGTTTAGTTAACATTAAGCTGAAGTTAAATATTTAAGTTAGAAGCACAACGGCATTTATTGTGATGCTACTAAAACACCATTTTTCCCATTTATGGTTTTGAAAATCTTTGAATTGCTGTTTTTGAAAGAAATCATAAAATTTTTCCTAAAACATTAAGAAAAGTATTATGTCTCCTTCAGAAGCAGAAACTGAGTCTCTGAGCTCTAGCCATCTGTACTGTCACCGGGCACAGCCAGTCCTCAACCCCAATACTCGGTAACTAAGACAGCCAAGCAATTTCTCCTAACTCATAGGAAACAAACGTTGCCGTGTCTTATAAAACTAGCAAAAAATCTGTACGTTCTGTGTGACTTGTTTTAATTTTGTTTCAGGTTGAAATGCTAAAGCCAATGGTCTCCAGTTTAATATTTTGCCTAAAAAACCTGGTCCTAATTTGAAACGGCACACTTTCTCTTGTAGCCTATCTAATTCAGTCTCAAGTATTTCCAGTTTTATGAATAGAGAGCAACAGGATTCCAGTAGCCTTGATTAAGCTTGTGGCTACATCCCAAAACACTTGCCAGCTCCCTCAACCCACTTTCCAAAGGGTTCTAGGCTGAACGGGAGACTGCGAAAAAGATCCTTTTCCTTTTACAAGAACTAACCAGCATTTCAGACTTACCAGTATTTCTTGAGGACTAATTTTGAGGAGCAATTAAAATTATCCTCACTTAATGATCAAGTGAATATTCACATTGTATGATTTCATGTGATATTTGAAGGACACAGAGCTGTCCCCCTTCCCTTCTGTTCAGATGTCTATGTGGACTAACCTGTGCTCTGTGAGGACATTCACTGCAGATGGGTGATTGGCACAATACACGAGGTACAGGGTTTTCATCTGTGGCATCAGGTTTAAAAAGCAGCCTCCAACCCTCTGCTGAGCTTCAGGCAACCTGGAGACACACAGCACAAAGGGACACAGTCATCAGTTTTACAGACAGCAGGAGAACTGCTAAGTGACAGGCACGTAATACTTACGTAGGAAAGACCTCCCTTTGTACCCCATCTGTTAGAACAAGATGCACAAATCCCAGAGTACGTCTGTTTCTACATGAATTTAGCAGGGAGAAAAAACTCCTGGAAAGAAGTGCTGCTATAAAGTTCTCCTTGGCAGTGTCCAGCCCCAGGACTTGTGCACAGCACAGCAACAAACTTACAAGTCCAAGTTCTTTGAACAGTGAGAAAAACAGATGTCATGGAGCCTTAAATTGTGCATAAAATAAGGAGAATTATCAAATGTGGTTACATGGTTTGTAAGGTTTTCTACCAAAGTAGCATCAAGACTGACATGAAAAAGAATGCCAAAGCTGCCTTTCCCTCCAGGTTAAATACTGAAGACAGAGCACACCTACTGGGCGCCTCTCCTCCCAGATCCACACCATCATGACAACCAACAGGACTGTTCAAAAAGCATACACTCGCAAGAACAAAAAGAACACAGAAAGAGAGACTAGAACCAACACTGGAAACAGAAGTGCAGATGGGGAATGGGCAGGCCCTCCCCAGAGGCCTCAGGTCAGGGCCTGGGGCAGTCGGCCCATGTGGGAGTGTGCGCTGACACAAGAGTGTGCACAACTCAGGGTTTCTGGCGTGAAGAGACCAGCAATAACCAGCAGCAGGGGCCCACAAGATCCCTGACCCACTTTCCCTGTACCCCAACACAACTCTGCCCACCAGATTCCCAGAATGATAACAGGAAGGGCTGTACCTACAGCATCAGACCAGGGAAAAAGTGACAAAAAAACGTTAACAGCAGGGATCCCTCAGCAAAACAAGAGTCAACCAATCTCAAGCTATGGCCAGCACTTCTATTTTTTTTTTTTTGAGACAGAGTCTTGCTTTTGTTGCCCGGGCTAGAGTGAGTGCCGTGGCGTCAGCCTGGCTCACAGCAACCTCAAACTCCTGGGCTCAAGGGATCCTTCTGCCTCAGCCTCCCGAGTAGCTGGGACTACAGGCATGCGCCACCATGCCCGGCTAATTTTTTCTATATATTTTTAGTTGTCTGATTAATTTCTTTCTATTTTTAGTAGAGACGGGGTCTCGCTCTTGCTCAGGCTGGTTTCGAACTCCTGAGCTCAAACAATCCGCCCACCTCGGCCTCCCAGAGTGCTAGGATTACAGGTGTGAGCCACCGCACCCGGCCTATGGCCAGCACTTCTAAAGTGCTGTTAGTGTGCCAATCTTAATCGTAAGAAGGCACAAAAGGATCAACAACAACAAAATCTAACAGGAATGACAGAAACAAAAGGAGGGGGCAAGCAGGGGAAAGGGAGATATGACAGTTACTATTTAGGGAGCAGAAAATTATCTGAAAGAATTACAATTAATCGTAAGTGAAATAACAGAAGACGCTACATCCTTGAAGAAAGAAAAAGATGCCATTAAACATTCACGGTAAAATTTAAAGAGCTTTTGGAAATTAAAAAATGATAGCAGAATTGAAAAAGTCAATAGGAAATTTAGAAAGTCAAGTTCTGAAAATATCCTAGATTAATGAGAAAGACAGAGAAAATTCTATGATCAGGGCAAGCCATTCCACATCAGGATAAAAGTTCCTAATACAGAAAATCAAAAAAATAAACAGAAGTAAACCAAAGAAATTATCACACAAGTTAGCAGAAAAAACGAGAGACATGAGTGTCAAGAGGACAGAGCTCTCGAGTGTCAGCACGAGGTGGAAAGAGGCCACGTATGACAGTGCTGAAGTTCACAAACAAAGACACAGTAAGCTGTGAGCATGAAGCACCTGTTCCATATAAGGAACAGAGAATTAGAACAGAGTGGGACTCCTTGACAACCCAGAGCCAAGAAGCCAGTGAAGTGGCCCCTGGAACAGCAGGGGAAATCTCTTCCTATAACCCTGTCTCCATCTGGGTCAGAAGTGAGCACCAGTAAGGATTAACTGACTGCCACGCCATCTTTCCTCAGGAAGTTTCTGAGGATGTGCTGGACCAAATGTGGGAGTTATGCAAAAAAAGAGGAAGATAATGCCATCTAACATCCTGGCCAGAACTCCAGGATAAGATCCAGGCCCTGCAACTGCTGCTTCCTCCAATAAGCACTCTGTCTTAGTCCCCACCTGCTGCTGTAACAAAACACCTTGGACTAGGTAATGTATAAACTACGGAGATTTACTGCTCACAGTTCTGGAAGGCACCAGCAGATTCTGTGCCTGATGAGAGCCAGGTCTCTGCTTCCAAGTCGGCACCTGGCTGCATGTCCACAGGGTGGAAGGGACGAGAAGCTACCTCAGGCCTCTCCTGCGGCACTAATCCCATTTATGAGGGCCCCACCCTCATGACCTAATCACCACCTCAAGGCCCCACCTTTCACTACCATCCAATTGGCGATTAAGACTCAACATACGCAGGTGGAGGAAAACATTCAGACTGTAGCACACCTGGCTCCTGCTGTGCCACTGGCCTAGCAGGCCTTTCAGCGCTGAGCCCTCCACCCTGCAGGCAGTAAGTACCTCAGGCCATGCCTGCCCTGCTTCTACCTCCAGCAAGTCTCCGGGGTGTTTTCTCCGAATTCCACACCCCCAGCAGCAAGGAGACTCACTCTGTGAATTTCTGGTCCTTAATTAGTGCTACTTTCTATCCTGAGGCTGCTAAGTACTGGCTGGACAATGTCAAAGCGGGAGAATCGCTGAGTTACAAATATTAGGGAAAATCACACATGTTCAAAACACCAAGCACTCAAGATTCCCAGTAACTCAGTGTTCTCCCTGTTTTTCAGCAACTGTTATTCATTCCTTATTGTTTATCAAGGCTGTAAGAGGCTGTTCCTCTTCTAATTTAAGAAAATGTCCTGAGCAGTTACCAGTACGCGCTACGATAATGGCTGCGGGAGGCACAGGCACGAGGAAGCAAGACTACACACATCCCCTTAATCCGTCCTCCTCCGAACAATCATTCCCAGCACAGTCGGTCTTCCCTTCTATGCTGAGTAACATGCTAGTTTTAAAAAACCATGAGCTTCAGGAAAGATATGAAAATAAATCTTTGCTTCTAAAATGTAGACAATATGTAGTTAATGTAAATAATGCACATAATAAAAATGCACACTGTAGATAAAAATATCCCACTCAGGATTGGAGCAAAGGTTCAGAAGGTTGGTCTGTGTAAGAACCTCTATCTCTACAGACAGAGCGCCTGACTGATACTAAGTGCTCTCCAATTTACCAGTCCTTTCCCTCTGCTGTACTAAAGAATATGGACACCCACCTTCCGTATTTAAAACTCTCCGTCTCTCCACCTCTCTGTGCCTGTGTCTGAGCAGGATGTCCCTACCCAGAGTGGTGAGCCAGAATGGTGAGAACAGCTCTCCAGAGAGCAAGGGACTGGCTGCCATGGCAGAGCCACGCCCAAACGCCAGCAGCTGAGGATGAGGATGGAACTCTTTCTGCAGGTAACTGCTATGAACAGATCCACAGATGGGAATCTGTCCTACCTGCTTTTTCTGCCAATCTTCTTTGTCCTCCAATTCAGTAGCTACTAGCCACGTGGGACTACTTCTATTAAAGTTAATTAAATTAAATAATCATTTTTCTCGGTTATATTAACCTCACTTCAAGTGCTCAATAGCCCTACATGGCTAGTGGCCACTGCATCAGGACAGCACACACATAGCATTTCCATCAACACAAAAACTTCTACAAAGCAGTGCTGGCGTACCTCATCCAAGCCACGTTTCTAAACCCTGGCATGTCATGAATTTCTTATTATGCTGTTTTACTGTTTAGTTCATTTATACTTAACTGAAGTAAACTAGCATTTGTACTACTAACATTTATTTCCAAGTGAGAACTGCTAAGTGGGGTTGTCATAGCTTCAGGGATTAGCCACAGTTCTATCTGCAGAATAAACAGTCGCTGACTCAACAAATTAATTTCAACTACTATATTTATTCAGCACCATAATAAGGTACTGGAAACAAATTTAAAAAGAAATAGTCTCTACCCTAAAAGTGAAGTCAACTGAATAGAAGACAGAATATGTCACCACAATTACATGAGTTGCGAGCCCGCAGGGGAGCACAGAGCCCCTCACTCTGTAATCCAAGGAGGCCCAGCAACCAAGCCCAAGTACACGTCATTGAAAGACTAACAAGTACCTTCTCTTTTCTTTAAGGATCCAGGCCCTTAAGACACAGCCATCTGGAGAATATTACACGCTGACATCTGAGCAGGAGACGTTCACACTCAGAGATACAGTGAAATATAATACTGGGAAGTGTCTTACTTCTAGAATGAGAGAGAACCCTGAGTGCCTAGCAGAGGGAGCAAAGATAACTGGGTAATGATGGGATGCCACAGTTGTATGAACAAGAAGAGAACGCTGCCAGAGACGTGGCACAGGAAAATTACTGGGTATGCACTACCTAAAATGGGTTAAGTTATAATGATCACATAAACATCGCTTAGTGCTGGGCCATATACTATGTTAGGATTTCACTTCCCACCTGGTCTAATGCCATAGCTCTGAGCCATTCAAAGGAGAATGTACCTAAAATCTAGATCAATAAGTTATCCTGTGTGATACTTCCACCCGATGACAATTACGTCATATGTTAGCATGGCTTATAAACGAACAATGACTTCGTCGTACAAGCTTTTCCTGTTCCTTTCTCCCCACTGAGCCTAGGCGCTGGATTTTATTCTCTCTCTCAGTCCCAAAACATTACTCCAAGAATTTCCTAACACTGCCACCACCAAACAACTCCACAGTTTACACAGCCCTTCCAAGCACTAACTCACTGGATGGCACCAGCAGAGGCGGCTCAGAAAGGTCAGGTGAGTCCTAATACCTGAGCGCACCGTCAGAAACAGGCACCGTCCAGAAGACTGACGTCACAGGACAAAACCACCAAACCCAGAGATCATTGCAGAGGA